AAAGCCAAAAACACCGCCCCGGGACCCGATGGCATTCCTGGCCGAGCGTGGGTCCTGGCCTTAGTCGACGAGGCTCTCGAGCCCCGACTGCGAGGGTTCTTCAGCGCATGCCTCGAGCGGGGCCAGTTTCCGAAATTGTGGAGGACGGGGAAACTGGTCCTCATCCGAAAGGAGGGGCGCCCGGCGGACTCACCGTCCGCCTACCGGCCCATAGTGTTGCTTGACGAGGTGTGCAAGCTCTTTGAAAGAGTGATTGCAAGGCGCCTCGTCAAGCATCTCGTGATGGTTGGGCCGGATCTGGCGGACAACCAGTACGGTTTCCGTCAGGGGCGCTCCACCGTGGATGCGATCATGCGCGTGAAGGCTCTGGCGGAGGAAGCAGTCTCCCGGGGCGAAGTGGTGTTGGCGGTGTCCTTGGACATCGCCAACGCGTTCAACACTATGCCCTGGAGCTGCATCAGGGAGGCGCTCGTGTATCACGAAGTGCCTCTCTACCTCCGCCGCATAGTCGGGGCATATTTGTCGGAGAGAGCCGTCGTCTACCCCAGTAGGACCGGTCTCGGTAGGCGTGAAATGTCGTGCGGTGTTCCGCAGGGGTCGGTGTTAGGGCCACTCTTGTGGAACATCGGCTACGACTGGGTGCTTCGTGGTGCCTTCTTTGATGGTGTCGCCGTCGTGTGTTACGCGGACGACACACTCGTGACGGCGCGCGGCAAGACGCACCACGAGGCAACCCTGAGGGCCACGGCCGGGGTTGCCCAAGTCGTTGAGCGTATCCGGCGGCTGGGTCTCGAGGTGGCTCTGCACAAGTCCGAGGCCCTGTTCTTCCACGGGCTTCGGAGGAAGCCGCCTGAGGGATCTAGCCTCACGGTAGGAGGCACTCGCATCGGCATCGAGCCCTCGATCAGGTATCTGGGGCTCGTACTCGATGGCCGATGGGACTTCGGATATCATTTCCGAGGTCTGGTCCCCAAGTTGGTTGGGGCAGCGCGTGCGTTGGCGCGGCTGCTGCCCAACATGAAGGGACCCGATGACTCCTGCCGGAGACTCTACTCGGGGGTTGTGCGGTCCATGGCCCTTTACGGGTGCCCAGTATGGGCGGGGGCCCTGAAGGCCAGCAACGTCGCGATACTGCGGCGACCGCAGCGAATGCTGGCCATCAGGATCATAAGGGGGTACCGCACGATCTCCTTCGAGGCGGCGAGTCTCCTGGCCGGAACTCCACCGTGGGACCTGGAGGCGAGAGCCCTTGCAGCACTGTATCAGTGGCGCAAGGAGGCGCAGGGGTGGGTCGATACCCCCGGGTTCAGAAATTTTGATGGGAAAACCGGAAAACCCCCGCCCCGGTATATAGGGGAGTGGAGGGGAACGCCCCCGGGCAACCGACCCGGGACGCCGTTTATTGCGGCGGTAGACCCTTATGGGAAATTGGGGTCGAGAGGCTCACGGGACCCCCCTCTTTTTTTGGGTTTTTTTTTTGGTTTTTTTTTTTTTTTTTCCCCTTTTTTTTTCCCTTTTTTTTTTTTTTTTTTTTTTTTTTCCCCCCTTTTTTTTTTTTTTTTTTTTTTTTTTTTTTTTCCCCCCCTTTTTTTTTTTTTTTTTTTTGGTTTTTTGGGGCCCCCCGGATCCCCTTTTTTTTTTTTTAAACTAAATTTTAACGGGGGCCCCTTTTGAAATGATCAGGGAAGGAGGGAAATTGGGTCACCCCCCCAAATTGGTTTGGGATCCAAAAAAAAACCCCCCGGAAATTAAAAGGGGGTTTTTGCCCCAACTCCCAAACCCAAAACCCTTTTTCCTCCCAAAATTTTTTTTTGGGGGGAAGGGCCCCTCCCCAAAAAAGGGCCGGGTAACGGAAAAAATTTTTGGGTTTTTTTTTTTGGCGGGAGCCAACCCTTTTTAATTTTTACCTGGCACGGTCTCCCACCGGCGGGCCCGGGGGGGGTTTAAAAAACCCTTGGGGCCCCCCCAAAAAAACCCCCTTTTTTGAGCGGAAGGCGGGCAAAGGGGGAACTCTGCCGTTTTTTGCAGCTTTTTTTCCCAAGGAACGGGGGGGGGACCGGAAAAGGGGTTTTTAAAAATTCCCCCCCCCCGGGAACGGGAAGGGGGGAAAAAGGGAAACCCAAAAAAATTGCCCCTTAACGAAAACCCCAATACCTTTTATGCAAAAGGGGGGGTTTTCCGGAAACCTTAAAAAAACCCCCACACCGGGAAAAAATGGGGTTCCCCCCGGGGGGGTGCCTGAGTTGCCTGATTTTTTTTTTCTTCTTTATCCACAAATAAGGGTTCTACAATGGCGGACTTAATCAACAGCCTATAACAGTCCACTGCTGGACATAGGCCTTTCCTTATAAATGAGGTTTTGGCCTACTATACCACGCTGGCCAGACGGGTCGATATAGGCTTTGTTTCAAGTTTTCCTTCTCTTTGCAGTGATGTGGTCCTGCGTAGTTGCTCCCTTAGTCGGCTCTTACGACACCCATGGTATGAATAGGGGTGGTAACATTTCGTATTCTTAATCTTGCCGTAGACTTAATGCAACAGGCATTTTCTTCCAGTCTATCTTATGATGGTACTAAGCACGAGAGATTGATGTGTAAGGTTATTGGTTAAGATTTTTTAATAAAACAATACAAATCATGCAATACATATTCAGCAAATAACCGTTAGACTGTAGACTAAACAGTATCCCTCAGGACTTCCGATGCTATTCAAATTCAGCTTGAAGTTGTGTCTACTCTATTTTAGAGGAAGTTAAGAGTCTGAACTTAAGGAATATGAATGTTTGTTTCACTTTTTTTATAATTACATGATCAAAAATTACTTGCTAATGTTGTTAAAAACAATAATAATAACCAATAACAAAACAATAACCGGAGTAATACTACGACCTCCTAGAACACCAGTATGAAGCAATTCATTCGTTGAGGTTATCGGAGTATAAACCTCTTCTCCCCTGACTACGAGAGAAGGATTCAAAGGGTGACAACACCGTTGTGACTCTTGAGTTACAGATGGGTGGCGATGGTAATTTACCATTGTAGGACCCGTCTACTCGTTTGCCCTTTTATGCTATTACAATACCTATAGTGGCGTGTTATTTTGTCATAAAGCTTATCGTTTGCAGAGTGAAGAAGATGTTTATGCTTAGGTTTCTTTAGTTTAAGGCTACGAGATTGAGCTTATTATGCTTTAAAAACCAAAGATAAATAAATGATGTTACGGCCAAAGTTTCCTGTCAGCATTTATGCTAAAGGTCAATTGAAATGCTGCCTTTATCCCAATGGGGAATAAGAACTCAAAATTAATATACTTTAGCGAGCTTAAAAATGGTTCTCAATTCAATGTGTTCAACATGCTGTTTTTTGTCTTTTTATGCATCGGTTTCCACGAGTTCTCTGAGTTGATTGTTCAGTGTCTTTTTTTTTTAATTCAAAGTTTTTAAAGAAATACCAAATGTTATGGGGCTTTTTGACTCATTAGGTAAATTAAAGTTTGCGTTCCAACTTCCAGGTCGTGTAATCATCTGTAGATTCAATTAATTTCTGTAAGCGTTGTGATAGTGGTGTTCAATTGAGTCAAGTAATGCTTTGTTTGTGTAACGACAGAATGCATACCCAGTGGTATGCATTCTGATTTATTATCGTCTGAGAATCCCAATGTCCTTGCTCAAGTTGACATTTTTATTTAAGGCTTGTGTTTCTTCACTGTCATGAAGCTTCGTGTGAATAAGAAATAGTGACACCACTACATTAACAGCGTCAGTGACTATTATAATAAACTAACTTTTGCTTGTGGCTCCGCCCGCGTGTATGTCAGTCTAAAAGTAGCCTATGTCCTCCCTCAATAGTCAAAGTTTCTACATGCCAAATTTCATTAAAATCGGTTCAGCGGTTTAGCCGTGAATGCGTAAGAGTAGGGATTAATAGGGATTGACAATAATAACCTAGTGTAATTCTTTGTATAAAAAGTCTGTAACATGTATACGTGTAACAGACGTGTAAAATATTAGTGATGATATGCCGTTATGTTAAGTTTTATAAATTGATACAAAAGCCGGCACTAACCTTGAAATTGAATACAACTTTATTTTTCCACTTTTTACTAGAGTTGTGGCATGTCTAAGGATAAACAACATTAGTCATTCGTTTATTATGGTTTTTATGTGAACTAGAATAACGAAGAAGACATGCGAAGTTTAACAAAAACATTAAGGTGATATTATTTATGCTCAAGTGTACATTATGACTTATATCGGCTAATACTTTAATTTGCTTAAAAAAATAAATTATGTTAAAAATATCTAAAAAAGATAAAAAAGAAACCACATGTATAAATACAGATATAAATAATAGCTAGTAAATACAAATGTTACTATGTTGTTTAGTTTAGGCAAAGTAACCTTTATGTCATGCAAGCACCTAATGGAAGATTTTTAACACTTTTATTTTGTTGGTGTAGATTACCAACACGCAATATGAATGATAGACACATAGGCAATACATATTCAGCAACAAAAATCGAAATAGAGTAGAAATAATAAAGGTTTAACTATTTTCGATATATTATGGTGTTGAAAATCAGGATAAAACTGCATAACCTGCTGCAAACAAGTATCATACGATTCTTTACAAATATTTGCCTAATTTATTTTAGTAAAAGAATTACGTTAAGATATGTTCGTAGATCAACAAAAAGATCCATAACAGAAAATGAAGTTATTGAGGCATCGTTATGTCTAGAGATGTCAATAAACCAGTAAGTACTGCGTGAATACGAGCAAGTAACCCGTACCGAGTGTAATCTCTACATTTAAGTGTAGGTGAGGTTTATTAGCCCCGCGCTTTTAAAGCGCTAGTCGCACACGTGAAGGCTGTTTAATCGCGTCTGGGTCGCACGGCGGCGGCGCCCCGCGTGGCTCAGTAGGCGCGGGGCGGCGCCCGAGCGCCCGCCGTCAGTCGCGACTCGAGCCCCGGAGGGGCTGCACGTGTCCTCGCTCCCGCCTAGCGACTTATGTAACCATCCGCACGGTGAGTCCGCAGCCTCCGTGCCCCTTCCACCCCTACATCGACCCCGCAACTCGAACCCACGCGTTTTATCACACGACCGCTTTTGCCGACCGTGCGCGGTGTGAGCACGCGCTGATAAACCTCGCGCGGATCCTCACTCGTACCTTGTGCTGTAACCGTCAGCTGAGAAGTGACATAATCGATGCAGTAAGTACCGGTGTCCGGTGAGAGAGAATTCTCGGAATGCAGGTGTGTTATGTAACGGGAGTCGGAGGCGGATTGTAACCGAGGTTTTGCTGTCGACCAACACGCGGCAGGACTCGACGTCGTTCGCGCCGCTTCTCGGAAAAACCTCGCTCGCATGCCTTTAAATGACACTCGTTATAACGTCCGATTTCATCTCAAATGGTTTCCATAAATACATTCAACATATTGTTGATGTCATTTGAAATTTTTATGTAAATAATTATGTTAACCAATCTTGTCTTTTTAAATGTCATTTTCCTTCAGTATAGTACATATAATAAGCAATAGAGTTGAGAGATTTCTATTGAGTGGGGCCTAATTGGAAAGGTCGGACATAAAAATCCATTCATTCGTGGGGAATATCCGATTTAGGGTCAAACGTTTTTTATACTTGTTAATATATCAAAACATTTTTTCTGACATTACTACGACTGGAAAAACGTCATTCAACGTCGATATATTTACCTTTAGGCAAATTGATATGCTTTTTAATGTTTTCTTTGTTAAATTCAATACTTGAAGTAAAAACTTCGGTCGAGACTTAAAATAAATAAAAACTTGTTATAAACGATTCTATTGACTTGAAAGCTATTAAATGATTGGTATCAGAATTTTGATATCAACTAGATGGAAATAAAAACATTGATAAACTCAATGTTTTTAAGAATTAAAATTTCTAGAAAAGGCGATTGAATAGCTAAAAGATATCGATCTTTTCCTTAGAATGTCGTTTAAAACAAAATAAATGGTCTAGAAGGGAACCATTTATTATGATACTGTCGGTGACCTTAGGGTAAAGGAGTTATATATATACAGACTTATGAACTTAGCGTAGGTAACCTCATTAAGGTCAATTTATGTTATAATATTGAATCTGTTGCAGGTATTAGAAATAATAGGTCTACTATAATGAATTTATCATCACTGTAGTCGTTTACTGTATTTATGTTTACTGTAGGCGAAGATATATGTTGTCACTTTGATTTTGCTATGTTGTTCGATTCGTTTGGTGGTAAATATTGAACATACTTGAAAAAAAATCTTTACTGATTGATATACAATTGTTCAGAAATACTCAAGAACATGCTAATAAACTGATTTGTTTAGTGAGGGAGATTATATATGAATGAAATTACTGCAATGGGTAAGTTGAAAGTGAAAGGAACGGGTTGCTTAAAAAAAATTACATATTTTGCAGATTTTCATTAAATGAATTAGTGTATTTGACGGTATTTTTAAAAATAAAATTATTAAATTTAATAGTATTTTTTGGCTTTTAACCAAGTTATATTATTAAAGTAGTCTATTTACTATGTTACAACTTTATTACTAACTTTGAGTAAGTAGTATATACAAATTGTAAAACTTAGTTTGTTATAGAGTAACTATTTATGAGGTTTTATGTTATTATTATAGTGGTTACAATTCCAACTAAAAAAAAACACTGTAAAGAATAATGTTTCGTTTTTAGATACGTAGTTGTATCAATTACGCTTATTTTTGTTTCTTTTGCTTTGCGCAGCTGAGAATACAAAAAAAAAACATATGAATGAATGAAATGAAACAAGAATGCTGTCATATGCATTGATGACATTCGAAACGATAAGTATTAAATGATTAAGACTAAATTTAAAAAGAAAAGAACAAGGCGGGTACGCACAGTCTTATATGTAGATAGTTCGTCCATCTCGGGAATCGGTTCTCAAAGATTTTTATAGGTATTTTTCTAATGATATTCTTATCTTCACGTTCTAAAAATACTCTTGTATACTTGTACCAATACAGATACAGGTAATAGAAAAATTGCTGTAAGCAAAATATAGGTTCTATATAATTTTCCGATTTTTTCCATCACTTTTTGTTTTTCTTTTCTCATGCAAGGAGTTTTGAATACAAGTCATTAAATTCGCAAGTTATTACTGATTCACTAATGGTTCCCTGACTATGAACGTTCATAGAAAAAAATCCGCATATAAAAGGTGAAAATTGGCAACTTCTTTTGCTGACATACTGGAACAGAGTCAATATAAAAACTGATAAATCTATAATTTCAAAGATGATCTAACCAATATGGTTATGTCTACCATTAAAACCTTATTGGCCATGTTGCGACTTTAATGGAACCTTCTAGGTTATTTAGGATATCTCTTGTAGAATGCAGAGTAGCAATACTTTTTCTTTAATGTTTATATTAGGCTTTACATTGCTTACTAATTCTTGGTTTTGTATCTACGCAGTAGGGTAAATCTGTTGATAAGATATTTTTACCGATCTTCAATTCAGTAGCTATATTTTAGTAAATAGTTTATGCAATCGATAAATCCATCGTGTCATTAAATAACCGATATACGATAGATCGAAAACAGTTCGATTTTTTTACAAGGATTAGCAATGACTTCGCGGTCGGAAACCACGGTCTGGAAAGTGCAGATAAAATGTCTTTCCGATACCTACATATAATGATAATGTTGCAATGTCGTCAAACTAACAACGTGGTTAGAGTGGCAATGAGCCTTTGTCGGTTGACGGTGCTGCAAGATCGGTTATCACAAAAGGATATGTTCAGTAATGAGCTTTCTACTATCGATCGCTTCTTATCATTTCATTATGATAGCATTTCCTTATTATGGAACGATTTATGTTACGATACACTGATATCATATCTATTATCATGTCAGATAGTTTAACCTACCGCCGGCAAGTCCTAGAAATGCATTTCCTCATGAATCGGGAAAAGCTACTCTAGTTACCTATTTTACAAACATAAAGGTATTCAATAGTACGGTAGTAATAAATAAATTGATGTATGGTAGTAGCCAGTATGGCTCTGAAAGTTGGTCCATTAAGAGAATGGATGAGAGACGCCTCAATCTGAGATGGATGTGTGGTAATACTCGGATGGACAAGGTTAGGAGTGAGTATAAACGAGGGAGTCTGAAAGTAGCGCCACTGGATGAAAAGTTAAGAAGTAATAGGTTATTTTGGTATGGACATGTCATGCGAAGGGATGAGGAAAATGTGGCGAAGAAAGTTTTAGGTATGGGAGTTGAAGGGTACAAGAGAAGAAGAAGACCAAAGAAAAGGTGGATAGAATGTGAGAGTGAAGATATAGCTAGGAAGGAAGTACGAGTAAAAATTGATAGATGATGATAGAGTAGCATGGAAGAATCATACTTACTGCTCCGACCCCAAGTAAAATTGGGAAATGAAATGAGATATGATGATGAAAGGTATTATATTAAACTGAATACAGAAACAAAAGCTTGTCTATGACTCATCAAAGACAAGGTTTTTTCTCTATTCAGTTTGCTAAAAATAATCTTAACCTTGATTTATATCGCATTTAATTGGCAGTCTCCTCACACCGTTCTTCAATTTTTTTTGTACAGTGGATTGTTCTCGGAACTAGGGAATAATGAAGTTAGAATGTGTGTATATCTTAGAATAGATCGTAAATTGTAAAAATACCGTGTATCTTATATATAAAGCCATATATACCTAGTGTTCGGGATTTAATCCACCATAAGTACCTTTACCCTTAAAGGTACTAACAAGGTACTAACTTAGATATAGCTTTAGGCTACTGATTGATAGTTTTTAAAAATAAATAAGTAAGATTAATCAATATTCGATGTTTCTAAAATCTTAACATGATGACTGACTGACTCTTTTGAAAACTGTACTGTACTATACACTGTTAAGTTTCATTCTGCTGTTCAACTCCGATCTGCTATTTGATTCGTAATAAAACTCTTTTAGAGTCACAAGAAGAGCTATATGACCCTTATAGTTTCTTGTAGTTTTTCTTATTGTACTTTTGGAAATGGCGACAGGCACCTTCTGACTGCACCTTAGCATTGAGACTGTTACTACCTGGATAACTTACAAATATATTTTTTTAACATAATATTGTAGAGTACAATGTGGGGCCGATGTTTTTCTTGTATAACTCTATGAAAGCAAGGTGGCATAAAATGAAACTTTTTGATCAAAAGAATATCAATCCACACAAAGATTCTCTTCAAACAAAATCTACAAAACAGAAATACAAGAATAAAAACATTCTCATATATATGAGTGAAATACAAAGGCATTCGCACCCCGAGGATAGAACATTCGCACCCTTACCCGTAGACAGAGATCAAGTGGTTCTTTGTACCAATCTCGTAACTAGTCGCATATTTTGTATTGAGTCTTACGAAAAGACATATGACATGTAAGAAAAATAGTTGTATTTTTGGATATTTAATAAAATTAAAAATTTTACGTACCATGTACGTCTGCCTGCATGATTCTTAACTAGGTAGAGTCTTTATTACCACCAGAAATCCTCTGTCGGTCAAATTTCGACCATTTTGAATGTTTCGTCTTATTTCTTTGCTTTTTATAAATAATTTAATTTATTTACTTTAATTTTTATAAATCTATATAATGGCAGTTATTATATAGATTTTTACCATCACTGCTGAAAATATACATAATTTTTAATGTTAGCTATGTGCACTTTTTCAACATATAAACGAGCATGTTGGCCTAGTGGGTACTGACCCTGACTGCCGAGACGGATTCCCACCCAGGACCATGGGTGGGAATCGAACCCACGACCTCCGGCCCGGTCAGAGCACGATCAATTGTTCTGTATCTGGGTGTAATTTATCTACTCGTACAATATTTATTTGAAAATATAAAAGTACGAGTATGTTTATCTGGTTACCATAGTACAGACTCTGCCTAGTTTGGGGTCTTGTGATGATGTGTGAAAATATTATTATCAAGTATTTCAAAAATTGATATGCTTCCTTGTGCCATATTTGGTTGAAATTCTTTGCACCCTGCAAAGAATTTTCTTCACGAAATAATATATACCCATACTACTGATAAATAAATAATAAATATATACATGCTATACATATATTATATTAAAAATCACACGTTGAAATTATATAATCGCTATAATCCAGATGTCTCAGTTAAATTACTTCTTGAAAATAGAACCAAAAATTATTTCATTTTTTTTTGCAATTCGTAACACTAAAGTTTGATATCATATTTTTTTTACTTTTTCTATTTATTAGGGCTCTCCTGACATTCAAAATTCGACCCTTCATCATTAAGGT